CTTCCCTTCCCTCTTCCCTTCCCTTCCCTTCCCTTCCCTTCCCTTCCTTTCCCTTTCCCTTCCCTTCCCTTCTCTTCCCTTCCCTCTTCCCTTCCTTTCCCTTCCCCTTCCCCTTCCCCTTCCCTCCCCTGTCTCTGTCTTTCTGTCTCCCTCCCATCAATGCTGGGAGAGCACAAGAGGAGGCAGGTAAATTTTATGAAGTGAGACGCTGAGGCATGGCTTAGTGAATATAGAAGTAATGTATTCAGAGACTCTTACGTAGAGTTTACCCCATCTGAACAAGCATTTGGGAGTTTTGCCTTTCCCTAATGGATGGAGTTGTTTAACAAGGATAGGAACTCAGAGTATCCTGCCCACCGGTGAGTTTTCCCCTTTGCTCTTGGGATGGAAGGAAGGAGTAGCAAGCACGTGCCCGGGGAAGAACCAAGCAGGGGGTTCACTAGACTCATTTGGACCATCCCAGGCTCCAGGATAAATGCCCCTTCCCTTCTACTCCCATGCGTACTCCTTCCCTGGGCAGGCTCTCTGGCTCCTACGAAGACTTGCAGCATGGACAGGTGTCTGAAGCACTCGTGGACTTCACTGGAGGGGTGACGATGACCATCAATCCAGCAGAAGCCCCTGGCAACCTCTGGGACATCCTAACCCGAGCCACCTACAGCAGAACCCTCATTGGCTGCCAGACCCACTTAGGGGTGCGACTGGGCTGTGTACCAGCAGCGTGTCCTCCCTGCTCCCGTCCCCTTCATCCACCAGCGTCTGCTCTCACCTTGGGATGGGCCCCAAGACCCCCCTCTAGCTCTTGCTCCTAGAGTCCTGATACTCAAACCGGAGCAGCCAAGCTGAGCCCTGGGGGCCGGCAAGGCCACAGTCGAATGCAGATGGTGTGCAGACAAGCGAGCTAACAGTGACTAAGTGTCAACCAGGTGCAAGGTGCTTTACTAGCACAACTGGTCTTTACCGCCTAATTTAGTAACAACCAAGAACGTGGGACTAGAGTAGGGAGCCCTGGGTTCAGCCCTGCCTCTGCGAGCGACCACCACATCACCCCATGTGATGGTTTAGCAGCTCCGAATCTGAGTTTGTCCTCTGTCCAATGGGACGGGAATCCCTGCAGAATGGCATCCTGACTTAGAGGCTCCAACGAGACTGTGGATGCTGAAGAGCTTTGACAAATGTGAGGGCATAGCTGGGTCTCTCCCAGCCCTCCCCATAAGCCCTTGCTCTAGCCATACAGGTCCCCATGCCCTCCCCCTCCCCCCGCCAAATAAGCTGTATACAGCAGTGGGCTGACAGGAGCTCTCTTGTCTCCACAGAAGGAAAGGGTGCTGGAGAATGGGCTGGTGGGCGGCCATGCCTATACCCTCACAGGAATCAGGAAGGTGGGTGGAACCAGACCCTCTGTTTCCCTTTGGGCTCCTCCTCTCTCAGGGCTTCTCACCAAGGCTTGGGTGAACGTTACTAGCTGTGCCCAGTCTGAGGGGCAATTCTTTGCTGGGTTTTACAGGTCCTGCCAAAGCAGGTGGTGGGGTCCTGCACCAGTGCATCTATGTTCTGGAGTGATGTGGTGGGTCCAGCCTGGGCCACTGCAGGTCACCATCCCGGCCCCTCCTGTCCTGGGGCAGCCCTGCCAATCAGCCATCCAGCCCTGATGGGCCTCACCGCCCTTCCTCAAGGCCCCCTTTGCTCGGGGCTGCCACTGCCCATGACCTTCACATCTGGGGCTTCCTGCCCAAATTCCCACTTCTTTCTCACACACTCCTTTTCATCAGCCTCCCGGGTTCTTTCCATGGCTATTCATCTTTTGAGCTGTGCTAAGCACTGAGAGAAAGATGAATCAGACAGGGACCCTGCCTACACAGAGCTCACAGTCAGGGATGGAGACAAACCATAGGTAAACATGGTAACGAAGCAAAGTAGAAAGTGGAGAGAAGAAAAAATAGATGAAAGGCTTTAGGGGCTCAGAGGTAGGAGAGAACACATTTGCCTGATTGGGTTGGGGAAAGTCAGGAAAGGCTTCGTAGAGGAGGTGGCATTGAGCTGGCTCTGGAAAGGTCAGTAGATTTGTCTGAGGGAAAGGGGCACTCCTGGTGGACGGGGGTGCACGGAAAAGCATGGTTCCATCTTACAGAGCATCTGATGTCCTCTAGACAGCCTGATGTGCCCAAGTCCTCCAATTCCCTTTTACTCTTTCAGATTTCTTGACCTCAGCTCCCACCTGACTTCTTCCTCCTCCTCCCAGATCTACATCAGTTATGTTTGTGTGTGTGTCAAGAGCTTTTCATGAATTCTCATATTTCTTTAACAAAACTTAGATTTTATTAATAGAGTTACATGTTTATGTCCATATTTGTTGTATATTTATTTAACATAATTAGCAAAATTTAGCACTTACTGTGTGCTAAGTCTTGTTCCAACTTCTTCACAAATGTTAACTCAATCCTCAACACACCCCTGTGAGGGGGTGTATTAGCATCCTGGGGCTGTCCTAACAAATTACCACAAACTGAGGGGCTTCAGACAACGGAAATTTATTCTTTCACAGTACCAGAGGCCAGAAATCTGAAATCAAGCTGTCATGACAGTCTCTGCAGGTTCTGGGGGGAATCCTTCACTGCCTCTTCCAGCTTATGGCGGCTCCCAGCATTCCTTAGCTAGGGATGGAGAGCTCCAATCTCTTCCTCCATCTCTGCATGGCCTCCCCCCCACCCTTCCTTTCCCTTCTCTTAGCACTGGGTTTAGGACCCACCCTAATCCAGGGTGATTTCTTTTCTTTTTAAGATTTTATTTATTTAGGGGCGCCTGGGTGGCTCAGTTGGTTAAGCAACTGCCTTCGGCTCAGGTCAAGATCCTGGAGTCCCGGGGTCGAGTCCCGCATCAGGCTCCCTGCTCGGGGGGGAGTCCGCTTCTCCCTCTGACCCTCCCCACCTCTCATGCTCTCTCTCTCTATCTCATTCTGTCTCTCAAGTAAATAAAAAAAAAAAAAGATTTTATTTATTTATTTGAGAGAGAGGAGAGAGTGAGCCAGAGAGCACAAGCAGTGGGGTCAGGGTGGGGGTGGGGGGTTGCGGCAGAGGGAGAGTGAGAAGCAGGCTCCCCCCTGAGCAGGGAACCCGACCACGGGGCTCGATCCCAGGACCTGAGCTAAAGGTAGACCCCGAACCGACTGAACCACCCAGGCACCCCTTCAGGGTGATTTCATCTCCAGTTCCTTAATTTTATTATATCTGCAAAGACTCTTTTAATAAATAGGATCACACTGGGGCGCCTGGGTGGCACAGTTGGTTAAACATCCGACTCTTGGTTTCAGCTCAGGTCGTGATCTCAGGGTCGTGGGATCGAGCCCCGTGTTGGGCTCTGTACTCAGCTGGGAGTCTGCTTGGGTCTCTCTCTCTCCCTCTCCCTTTGCCCCTCCCCCCTGTGCTCTCTTTCTCTCTCTCTGTCTCACTGAAATAAATAAATCAATCTTTAAAAATAAATAAATAAATAGAACCACATTGACAGATTTTGGGTAGATCTATCTTTGGGGGGCCACCCTTCAACCCGTTACAGCAGATGTAGCTATTAGCTTTACTTTCCAGATGAGGAAACAGACCCAGAGAGGGTAAGTTGTGCTAGGTCTCAGCAGTGCTAAGAGGCAGAGCCACTTTCTCTTCTTCCCACGCTCAGGGCCTTTGGTCTTCCACTTCGAGGTCTCATCTGGCAGGCACGGATGTCACCCAGATAGCTGCAACATTTGCATTTGGCACTCAGCCCAGCCACCTAAATTGCTTCTCGTTTTGTGCAGGTGACCTGCAAACATGGACCAGAATATCTAGTCAAGCTGCGGAACCCCTGGGGCAAAGTGGAGTGGAAAGGAGACTGGAGTGACAGGTGAATGCCCGGGATGGGCTGGCAGGGGTGAGGTTGGAGCAGGGCAAGCCTGTGAAGGAGTCCGCCGTCTGCACACAAATTTAAAAGTGTTTTTTGGTTTCCAGCTGGATCAGGAGAGTGTTCCAGTTGTGAAGGTCAATTGCTCACATTTATGTGATGCTTAATGACGTATAGACAGGTTTCTCATTCATTATAATAATTGAGCTAATGTTTATTGAGAGCTTGCCAGCACTGTGCTAAGCATTTTGAATTTATTTTTCCTGCCCTTATTTATTTAAAAGTAAAAATTACCTTGACTTTGAATGTGCAGAGACCTCCCTTAGGTGCAGTCTGGCATATTTCCTTCAAGCACTTTGAGTATTTATTATCTCTAATCCTCTGAACAGTGCTCTTACTAGGTAGGGAGTTTTATCTCCATTTTACTGATGAAGAAACTGATGCTTAGTAAGCAAATTACTTAAAGGTTTTTGGAGTAAAATCCAGTGTTCTTTCCCAGACACAGTTCAGTGTGCTCTTGGGCCCGTTGAGTCAGAGGTAGACAGATCCAGATTGGCCCCGACCTTCTGGTTCCATGTTGTGACCTCCGGGAGCTCTGCTCAGATCAGAATGCAATTCCTTGGGTCACCTTCCAGGGATTTAGTTTCGGGCAGGAGTCTGGGCGACGTGAGGGCTCACCTCATTTGCTCCTCCCAAAACCCCCCGGGTCATAACCCTGAGCTGCCTGCTGTCTAGCATCTGAAAACAATTGTTTTTTATATTTTTAGTTGTTTGTGGTGGAGAAGTAATGCAGGAAAGCCTTACTCCCTTGTGGTCCGACATAGAAGTTCAAAATGACAGGCTTGAAAATACATAGTACCAATGTAGGTTCAGATGCGCTTGCACATTTCATAACTTTGTGACTTCAGGAAAGTGACTTAGTCTCTTTTAACATCTGTTTCCCAAACTCTAAAATGGCAGCAAAAGTCCCTGCCTTGCCATCAGGGAAATCCAAATCAAAACTTTAATGAGATACGACCTCACACCAGTCAGAATGGCTAAAATTAACAAGTCAGGAAACGACAGATGTTGGCGGGGATGCGGAGAAAGGGGAACCCTCCTACACTGTTGGTGGGAATGCAAGCTGGTGCAACCACTCTGGAAAACAGTATGGAGGTTCCTCAAAAAGTTGAAAATAGAGCTACCCTACGATCCAGCAATTGCACTACTGGGTATTTACCACAAAGATACAAATGTAGGGATCCGAAGGGGTACGTGCACCCCGATGTTTATAGCAGCAATGTCCACAATAGCCAAAGTGTGGAAAGAGCCAAGATGTCCATCGACAAATGAATGGATAAAGAAGAAGTGGTATATATACACAATGGAATATTATGCAGCCATCAAAAGGAATGAGATCTTGCCATTTGCAACGACGTGGATGGAACTGGAGGGTGTTATGCTGAGTGAAATAAGTCAATCAGAGAAAGACATGTATCATATGACCTCACTGATATGAGGAATTCTTAATCTCAGGAAACAAACTGAGGGTTGCTGGAGTGGTGGGGGGTGGGAGGGATGGGGTGGCTGGGTGATAGACATTGGGGAGGGTATGTGCTATGGTGAGCGCTGTGAATTGTGCAATACTGTTGAATCACAGATCTGTACCTCTGAAACAAATAATGCAATATATGTTAAGAGAAAAAAAAGAAGAAGATAGCAGGAGGGGAAGAATGAAGGGGGGTAAATCGGAGGGGGAGACGAACCATGAGAGACGATGGACTCTGAAAAACAAACTGAGGGTTCTAGAGGGGAGGGGTGTGGGGGGATGGGTTAGCCTGGTGATGGGTATTAAAGAGGGCACGTTCTGCGTGGAGCACTGGGTGTTATACACAAACAATGACTCATGGAACACTACATCAAAAACTAATGATGTAATGTATGGTGATTAACATAACAATAAAAAATTTAAAGAAAGAAAAAAAAATCCCTGCCTTGCAAAATTGTTAGCCTTAGGTGAGATCAAGTATGTGGGGGGCCTGGCCCAGAGCTTGGTGCCCAGTGAGGGATGAGTTACTGTTACACGTTGTTTTTAGAAGACAGGATGTGAGATTTAGTTGTTTGCAAAGCGGCATGAAGAGGAGGGAAATAATGACACTCTCCAGCATTTACCCCATGTCCTCCACAACCCTTCATTCCCCACGGAAACACCCCCTTTTCTGTTTTCAGCTCAAGTATGTGGGAGCTACTGAGCCCCAAGGAGAAGATTCTACTGCTGAGAAAAAGTGATGATGGAGAATTCTGGTATCTGACCTGGGGACTCGGGACAAATGCCCTGGCTTACATTTGGATACCCAGCCTGCAAATATTTACTGGGTGCCACACGTCTGCCAAGCACCTCGTGTGCAGAGATAGGGGCCCACAGCCCCTGCAAATGGTCACGGTCCCTATGATGAGTGCAGTGACTGCTGACATGGTGGTCGGTGGACACTGGGTGCAGAGCATGGGGGTGGCCGCCTCCGTCTCCCTGACTTCCGCCCAGTCTCTTGAATCACTCAAAACACTCAAACCCAAGGTTTTGTCTTTCCTGGCCTGAAAGGGAGATGAGGAAAGAAGCCATAACTATAAACTATAAGCCACCTCAGAACACCATGACATGACTCCCACCCACCCCAAAGCCACTCACCCCCTTTTATGAAAAGCCACCAAGACGCCTTGAGCTGATGCTGTTTCTGGGTGAGGCAAGCCCCATTTGCTCCCCTTTCCCTTCGCTTTTGGTCCTTACTATTAACTTCCACCCTTGTTCCCATGGGCCACTCTTCCCCCATTCTGCACCCTTTCTAGACTGCTGTGACCCCTCTCTCCTTGGAAGTGGTCACTGAACTCAACAGCCCTGAAACTACTATTAATTTCCACTTTACAGATAAGTAAACTGAGCATCAGCCAGTGCAGATAGCATGCCTTGGGTCACAAAGTGAGCAGGGGCTAAGACTTTTATCAATGAATAGTTGAGAACCGACTTGTGCATTTATTCTTGAACACTTGTATCTTCAATTGGCTATAGCTAGGAATGCCTCAATTCAGTGTTATCATTGCGATCAGCAAAGCAAGAACATCTCCCCCAGGCATGCTTTGCAGGAAGCTGCTTCCAGTGACGGGCTGGGGGTGGGGGGTGGTTTCTCGATGGCCCACCTCCCCTGATGCCTCCTCACACTCATATAGCCAGCTCCGCTCTCCCGTGTCCCAGGCCAGCTCAGCGGGACAGAAGGGCGAGGTCATGGGGCTGGGGCTGGTGGGGCTGGCGGGGATGGTGGGGCTGCTTGATTCCAGCCCCCACATTAGTCCTGATGCGTAGACGTTGTGCTGTGCCCCCTTCCTCTCCACAGGATGACACTGAGGGACTTTAAAGCACATTTCATGCTTCTGGTCATTTGTAAACTGACCCCAGGCCTGCTGAATCAGGAGGTGGGCCGGAGGTGGGCATGCACCATGCAAGAGGGGAAGTGGGAGAAGGGGAGCACGGCTGGTGGCCGGATGAAGTCGCCTCGAGGTAAGCACGTGCACAGAAACTGGGGCTCTTGGGGCTAGAGTAGCAGCTTTCCAGCAAGGGTGGGGACGTGGGCGCACTGTGGGTGGGGGTGGGGCTTGTGCCCTACACGGGGCATCTGGCTGAGTGTGAGGGATTTTGCTGGTTGAGCTGTGTGCTCTGGCCCTGGGCCATGTCCTCCTCAGCCCCAGGAAACCACAGGCACACATGCATGGTAGAAGTGGGGGTTCAGTCTTTGGTTTTAGGACAAGGCCATTTCTATGCTGAAATAACCACCCCTTAAAGGCAGGCTTGAAATAGTAATTTTGTCCTATGTATCAGGCTTGCCTGGAGGTCGGTGGTGAAACAAAATCAAGGATTCTCAGCTCACCACTTACAGGAGACAAATGTGTCTGAATCCTCAAAGTGGAGAGATTTTGTCACTGTGTCCCCTTCTCCACAATGGAGGTGCTGAGCCATCTCTTTGGAAGGAAAGACTTGTAGGATATGATCTCAGTGGGCCAGGTGCCTTTGGCTCTGGCTTCCCCCTCTCACCACAGAGGTCCCTCCAGAGGCTGAAGCTTGGTCCCTGTTAAAATGCAAACCTCCCTGTGATCATGGACCTGTTCTCCTCAGTTAGTTAATACAGTTCCTTACTCAGGCAGTCAGTGCTTATGGGGCACAAAGTCTGTGCCAGGAACCATGCTGCACAAAGGGGCTACAGTGATGAGAAGAGCTCTTGGTCTGTGTGTGTCTGTAGGACACAGGGTGGAAGGGGTGGGGTTGGACGGGGGATAGAGGGGAGGCTGAGAACCCCACTCCCCTCCAGATGGACCTTAGGGTGGGAATCTCAGGGCAGGTGCCCTGGGTCTGTGGGAGTGTGAAGCTGAGGGAGCCGGGGGCCTGGCTCACCTCACTTCATTCTGCTCCAGACACATTCTGGAAGAACCCACAGTTTCTGCTGTCTGTCTGGAGCCCTCAGGAGGGCAGGAGTTTCCTGATGCCCTGCAGCGTGCTGGTGTCCCTGCTCCAGAAGCCCAGGCACAGGCACCGCAACCGGAAGCCTCACCTCGCCATCGGCTTCTACCTCTTTAGGGTGAGTGGGCCTCCAGGGCCCACGGCCTCGTGGGGCATCTCCCACCACTGGGTATCCTTCCTCCCTGTTTCCTGTCCTCTTCACCATCTGTCTCTGTCTACACGCAGACTTGGGTGCAGACCTTGGCTCTGTCCCTTGGGTATATGTGATCTAGAGCACGTCACCTGCTGGCCCTTGAGCATCAGCTTCCTCATCTGTAGAGTGGGGACACTGATATTTACGCAAAGGGTAGACCAGAAGGACACCCGCATGCCAGTGCTCCTCCTGGGGCCCGGCACACAGTTCATACAATCAAGACCACTGTTCTTTTCCTCTCCTGAAAAGTCAAGGTTGCCTTCCATCACCCTTTTCCAGAATTCCTGATGATGAATTAAATGTCACTGACTAGAATAGCAAGTCTTATGGGAGAGACAGGGGCCCTTAGGGGGAGCCTTCTTACATATCAACCTCCATTAGTTTGTGCTTGTGGAAGAGTTGCATTCCCTGCCTAATGAGGCCTCTCTTTTTTCTGCTTTTCAGTTGAGCAAGGTGAGTGCCACACTTGACCAGCTGGCCCTGGTTTGGAGTGATGTCACGTGTGAGGTTCAGCTTGACTGTAGCAGCCTTATGCGAGGAGCTGTGAGCGTGTCCGGCAACAGTGCCAAAGGGATGAGTGCTTGCCATTCCTTTTACCCAAGGACCCTGAGAAATCCTTCTGCCTCTTTGGGGCGGTCTCTGAGCCTGGTGTAGAACCAATACATGTTAGAATTTATTAAATCCCTTCGTAAATAGCTAGCACTGATATTGAGGACCATCCCAGTGTCAGAAGAACGGTAAATCATAGTCTTAGAGCCTGAGTTATGAAGCCCATAGTAAAACAGATCTGTAACATATGGACATCAGGAGACCAAGCAGCCCACCTCCTTAGGGACAAGGGACAAAGGCTTGGGAAAATGGGACAGAAACACAGGCAGGGGACAGGAACAAGTGTGGCTCTCATGTGCAGAGGGAGCCTAGAGGAGCAGCTGAGAAGGTTGGAGGGACCCCAGCCTCTGCGAGCATGGCGGCTATTATTTTGTTTCCCAAAGTAAATAGGAGTGGAAAACTGCATTTTCTCAAATTAGACTGAATCAAGTAAAAGGGTTTTTGTAAAAGAAACTATTTCTGTATTAGGTGTCTTGGGTCAGTTTTGGATTTTTTTCCTCCTGTAGGAACACTGAAGGCTCCCAAAGTTCCCCATAAATTTTTTTAAGTTATTTATATCATGCATATTTCTAAATAGAATTTGGGTCAGCCTACAATAAAACTGTAAACAGAACAAAACTATAAGCCAGTTAAAAATTTACAAGGCAAGAAAAAAGTCATATGTGGATAAGGTAAGCAGTTGAGTCTACAAGGAACGCTAAACCTAGGACAGCTAATATGGCTGATTATAAAATTTAGTTCTGAGATTCCCAATAGCCAAGGCAAAAATGGCAACAGGATGATTCTCTAGTTCTTATTGTCTGATAAAAGAAAGCATGCATCATCAGGAGATACATTTTGTTTCCTTAGCCTTGAGTGGAACCTGTGAAATGTTTTTATGTAGATGGGTAACGTCTTTGTTATCTATATATAAACTGGAGTGAAGAACCAGCATATGGTCCTCCTCTCCCTCTACAACTCTTGAATGAGAGCAAAGGGGAAAGGCAGCAAGAAAGAAAGATAGGGAAAGATGGGGAAATAAAGGAGGGAGAAAGGACAGAGAGAAAGAGAGAAAATAAGAGAGAGGGAGAGAGAGAGAGAGAATATGAGATAAAACAAAAGACACATGCCCAGGCAATGTGAAAGGCAGAGCCTGATTCAGGTCTTCTGAACTTTTGTCCGGTTCTCTTTCCCCTTCACTGAGATGATGTAGAATGTCCAGTTTATCTGTACGTAGCTGTTTTACTGTAGGTGGGGAGATGTTTGGTGGTCCACCAGTACCTGTGACCATAGTCATGTCATAATCAACCTTGAAATTACATCACATACATGGAGGCAGCATCAGGGAGTGTAAAAGACAAGGACTTTGGAGCTCAGCTGCCCTGAATTCCAACGCTGGCTGGGACTCTTACCAGCTAGGTGACCTTGGGCACATGACCTAACTTGTCTGAGCCTCAGACCCTTAACCGTAAAATGGAAAGTGCAGACACAGTGACATTTCTCACGTCGTTTGTATACAACATTGTTTTTAATGTAAAGTTAAATGGATTGACATGTGTTTCATCAGCCCCACGTCGGATTGCAGCAGTGGTGCTCATTCCTGACGTGTTGTGTTTTTTCCTCTCCACTCCTCACCCCTTTATCCCTCCACTGGAGCAGGTTGGGTTTGGCTAATCAGAGATCACCTTCATCCTGTCTCCTGGCCAAGGACCCCAGGGCTGGCTAGAAGCCCTGGGTATCATCTTAACTGGGGCTCTTCCATCCTCTACCCACAGTACTATGGTGACCAGAGGAGACTGCCTCCTGAGTTCTTCTGGAAAAATGCTCCCCTAAGTTGGCCTGAAGCATTTCTCACAGAGAAAGAAGTGAGTCAAGAGCTGCAGCTGGAGCCAGGGACATACCTCATTGTGCCCTGCTCCTCTGAGGCCGGCCAGGAGTCGGAGTTTCTCCTGAGAGTCTTCTCCAGGAAGCACATCTTTCAGTAAGGACACAGGACTCCCCTGGAGGTTGGGGCCCCCTCAGGCCAGGGGAAGTATGGAGGAGGAGGTGGAAATTGCAGAGGACGGGTTCTGTGTGGCCAACACAGGAGAGGGGTAGGGAGAGCATGGAGCTCCCTGCATGGGGAGCACCCTTCCTTTCTTCCTCCCCACTCTCTTAAGAAATGAACAGTCTGCTAGACATTCAAGAGAAAAAGCTAGACTAGGCCTGGCCCCTGCACTCCAGAAGCTCAAGGCCTGGAAGGGACAGGGACGTATGAGCAGTGATTTATGCTATACTATGTCCAGTGCAAGCATTTATCTACACAGGGTGTTAGCAGAACATCAAGGAGGAGCATCTGAGCCAAACTCCCGTGGTCCTGGGGGAAGCAGGGGTGGCTTTGGGGAGGTGTTAATTTCTAGGAGCTGCATAGGGGTTGTGCACACGAGGGGAGGCTGTCATCAATGAGCAGGCTTAGATCCATAAGTGTGTGCAAGTGAATCAATAGAAGAATACCAGCCCAACTTCTTCTGCTGCTTATGATTGTTTTGACACGACAGCCCTTCAGTGCTTAGAATCCAGTTCTCTTTCTTTTTTATTGGTGATTTGGCCCTATGTAGTCTGACTTGACCTCGAGCCTCACTGCCTGTCCATGCTGATAGTATATATGAGTAGGAGTCGTTTGGTGTAGGCGGGGACAGTGAAAGGCATGCCAGGCGTGGAAATGAGCAACAGCCCGGGGGCATGTGGGGAGCAGTGTGTGGGGCCATGTGGCTGGACTGTCTACTCCAAGGAGAAGTGGGGGGAAAGGCATGAGAGCAGGGCGAGCCCCCATGGCAGATCAGTTAAAGGACTTGGAAGATGTGTTCCCAGGGGAGGGAGAATATTGGCCAAAATGCTCTCAGGAAGTAATTCTGCCTTTTGTTTTCCCTCAGTGAAATCGGCTGCAACGTCAGTGCTGTCTTCTCTAAGGTGCGAAGGCAGGTGGCATTCCACACGCTGGGACTGTTTCCAAAGGATGGTGGGCTTCTCCCCTCATGTTCATATGTCGGGGGAAGAAGTCTGTAGATCCTGAGGACCCTACTCTATGGCACCCATACTATGTTCTCTTTTGTGCCTTAAGAGTCCCTAGTTCTGCTGTTTTTACACCAGGAGAACTGCCCTTCTGGTCAGGTCCTTGTCATGGAGGGCCCAGAGTGCCCAGTACATGAGTTATACATCGACTTGCTTCTGCTTCTTTCTACCTGGTGTTTCTTTTACCCATTTCACTGTCTGCTACTTCTCCAAAGCCAGTGAGAATTGGAGAAACAAAAGATGTGTGAATGCTGTGGTAGAAAACTTAAGACGGTGCTCAAGGTCCAACTTATAGATTTCTGGAGCCTGGGGGTCACGAGACAGTGTGTGCATGAGCATCCATTCATCTAGGTGAATGATGAGGTCTTTCCATGTGTCTGTTCCTCTAGGAAATAGTGGACCAAAATGAAGGGCAGGCTGAATTCTTCACTAAACTCTTTGAGAAGGTAAGTTGGCCAGGGGTGGTGGCGAGCTGAGGGCAAAGCAGGGGACAAAGTGGAGCATAGAATTCCATGGAGGATGTGTTTGCAGCTGCCTGACCCTGGTACAAAGTCTGATGTAAGGTTACTGTTCCCCAAACTGCCACTTTATATTCAAGTCCTCAAGTTTTTAGACAAGTAAGTGGAAGTGGATTGTCTCCAGAAGGCTCCTGTAAAATGCATATCTGTTCTTGGAAGTGACTTTGATTAGTTGTAGGAGAAACGGCTTTAATCTTTAATCCCTGAGAAAATGGAATGTAGAGTTTAGAATCCGTGTTGGCAGTGGGTGCAGAGCATGGTAATGACAAGCCCAAGGGGCCTCGGGGAGCCCAAGGAGGAAGATCCCTTGGGTGGTCACCTAGAGAAGGGATAGGGCTGGGAAGAGGGCATTAGGGAAGAGAGGGCCTGGGGCTGCATACCTGGTCCCCTTGAGGCCTTTCCTTAAGCTGACCCAGATCAGGAGGCCAGTGGTGTGAGGTAGGGCTCTGGAGGCCGCTCTGTCCCTAAGCTGCAGGACACTAGATCCGTTGAGGAATAAGACACAAATACACTAGAAATCTGGCATCTGACAGCTTAGTGATGTCATTAAAACTACAAGGGCATGAGCTCCTTGTATTAGTAACTCTCCGGATTTAATTCACAATGTGCCTGCCCCCCAATCTTCTCTCATATTCACCCCTGGCATTTTGCCTAATGTAGCCAGAGAGGATAGTTAGAATCTTACCTGTGTTGTTCATAGATGTTTTCCTCCATACCAGGGGTTTCCAAACAGTTTCTGTTGCAGTCCTTTTATCAAATGGAATCTCATTGAGAACCCCAATATATATAAAACAGATAAAAATGATATATTATGAATATATATCTGTTTTATAAGCTCACATTGATGATACTTACATTTCATTTATATTTTTTAAGGTTAAATTTTTTTTTTTTTAAGATTTTCTTTATTTGAGAGAGAGTAAGCACAAGCAGGGGGAGCAGCAGAGGGAGCGGGAGAAGCCGGCTCCCTCCTGAGCAGGGAGCCTGATGCGGGGCTCGATCCCAGGACCCTGGGATCACGACCTGAGCCTAAGGCAGATGCTTAACCAACTGAGCCCCCTAGGCGCCTCTTTAAAGTTAAATGTTAATGTAAAGGGTTGCCTCTGATAAACTCTAAAATTAAAACTTGGAGCCTTGGCTGAAGATCTCTTATTAAGAATAAAATTCAAACCAAATTGTTTGCTGAACTCCTGAAGCATCTTGATGAAACTCAGTTTGACAAACACCATTATTAGACTGTTTCTTATGAGTCCTGTCCTGCTGGGGTTCCCTGGGCTTGACACCCGGGCTCACTTACTCTGCCCAGAAGTGGCGTATGTTCCGTGCAGAGCAGGTGTGGGGGTGACTTCCCAGCTCTCTTCTCCTGCAGCCCCTCTGCATCTAATGAACCTTCGGTAATGATAATTTTCTCCTGCTACTCTGCTCCCACTTCAGTATCCAGAAATAAATGCAGTGCAGCTGCAGAAGATCCTGAACCACATGACCTGGTCAAGTGAGTATTTCAGAGTCATCCTGTAGGACTCAAGGGGCACGGCTCTTCTGAACTCCGGGTCTACTCTCTTTCCCCTGTGGGACACATGAATTCCTGCACCAGGGTCCCCTAAGCAGCTGTGTCTTATACCAGGGTGGGTCATGTAGCAGTAGAGAAATTTATACAGCTTGGAAAATAGATTTTTTGTTTTTGGTTTTTGGGGTTTTTTGTTTTGTTTTTGCTTTGCTTTGCTTTGCTTAGTTTGGGTGTGTAGAGATACATAGCTATGAAAATAAAGATTTCTGATGTTTTGCTAGTTTGGGAAGAATATCTGAGTACTTCTTTCTTGGCATATAAATTCCATGTGGAAGAACTGTACCCAGCCTGGCATATGAATATTGTATTTATATACAATGTAAGTGTTGACTAGCCCTCCCAGGGAGCTTTCTAATGGACTCGTATTTAAGTTGACCAACCTTCAAAAATTTGAAGGAGGGGAGCACATCCCCTCAGAGGGCTGCAAATGGCCGGTGTGGATGCCCTCATAGGAAATTTGAGATATATTGTTAAGAAAGTTTAAAGTCCATGGAAAATTTTTTATATGTATATTTCAAGTGGGAAGAACATGATTTCTCCAGGGAGGAGAATGAATTTCAAAACAAAGAAAGTAAACCAAACAATTAACAGGTATTTGCCACCTAACATATGTGATTGATTCTCCTTTATATGAAGCCAAGACTTCAAACCCAAACAAATTAGAGTCTAGGGTGTTGTATAACTCAGGGCTTGAAATAATTTCCAGATGGTTCCTCAAAGCCAAATTCAGGTATTATAAAAGAACCAGAAGGAGAGATTCTAGAAATTATAGAATATAAGAATCCCCCCCTACCCACGACACACATACCCTGGAAAATAAATTCTAGGGAAATTATCTAGAAGAGATAGTTTGAGCACATTTATAGTTTTTTAAATGTTTTGATCACAAGTATGCAAAATGGTTTTCCAAAGAATGTGTGGACAAATTGCTTTCATTTAGTCCTATGAGAGAATTTTTGGATTGACAGATCAGAGAACTACTGTGGTTTTGGGCAAAATACTTGGCAAAGTATCTGATGGTAAATGATGACATGTGGGTTGGGAAGTAGCAATATGAGATGTATTCACAAGTCTGATTACCATTCCCAAGAGTTATATAAATGCGAAACCAGAGGGGTAATTCTATGTTATAGATGAGAGTCTGTAAGTATAGATGAGAGTCCCTGGATTCTCCCCTTCACTTCCTCAGGTTTTATCAATGACTCAGAAGAGGACATGGGAGGTAGTCTTATCAGATTTCTAGATGGCACATTAATATAATAGATAGCCAAACTGAAATTCACAATGCTCACAACAAGCCGTGTACCCAAACCAAAAAGATGAAACAGTCAGGATGATCATTAAAAACTGCCATTTCATTATTTTTAAAAAATTGATTGCCTAAGTTCCTGGCAGACAAGATCTCATTTTTGTGGCAGTTTATGTAAAGAAAGATATCTGGTTAATATAGTTGACCTGGAGCTTAACACGAGCTCATAGTTTCAAGTTGCTGCTAAATAAGCTAATCTAAATTCAGACTATATTTAATGAAAATGTTTAGATTTGTATTTTTGAAATTGCCTTCCAAGGAGTATTAGACACTATGAAGTTTTAGGAAATGTTGCATGAAATAAAAGGGGTTAGACTCTGTGGTCAATTGTGCTCAGGGAATTCTGCATTAAACAAAAACAAAATTTCGATGCTGGCTTCTCAGTACCTATTATATGCTAAGATGCATGGTGAATGGATAAAAGGGCCTATAAATACAAAATATTTCAAATATAGTTGAACTCAAAACCCTTTCTCTGCAGAACATCATCATTGCAACATAATTTGGGAAATACAACTTGAAAATTTGGGAAGTCATAGTCCCCTTGTACTCTGCTTCATTAAACTGCAGCTCAAGGAGTGCATTCTGGTCTTGGTACCACATTTAGAGAGAAGATGGCAAAGCATAGGGTCTAGAAGAAGGCAAAGGGAGTTTAGAAGCCATGTTTAATATGGAGAGGAGACGTTGAAGAGCAGACATATGCCTGTCTATGCCTTTCTGGAGGCAGAACTCGGACCAGGGACTGAATTTTGCAGGAGATTCCTTTGGAAGTAACATAAATTTCTCCTGACTGGAGCTATGCATCCATGTGAAAAAGCAAACACCCATAACCGAGAGACCGTCCACCAAACATCCGAGGAAAGGATCCCCCAGTTTAGGTGGAACTCGAACAGATTGATCTCTCAGCTCTCTTTCAGATTTGGGAGTCCGTGACTCGGTGAGGTACCCATATCCTAGGTACCTGGGGCGATGTTCACCTGCCTATGGTGGAAGCAAAGCCAGGCTGTAACCGGCTCGTCTCCACAGGGCTTTATGGTGCTCTTTGGGTATAGGAACCACCACTGAGCCTTCTCTCTCTGCTGCCTTCTTGTTCTTACTCCCCGCTACCCCCCATAAATGATGGTCATTGGGACCTACAGGTGGCCTAGACAGCTCAGCCTCTTCCCATTCAGAAAAGGGCTGTGCTGTCCTAGGGCCGCCCCCATGCACACTCTTCCTGTCCCTCTGCAGGTCTGGGGAGCGCCCAGCCTCTCTTCAGCCTAGATGCCTGTCAGGGGATCCTGGCCCTGCTGGATGTATCTTTTCAGGTTTGTGGTAGGAGGCATGCTGCTGCTGGTGGAGAGCCTCGAGCTGGGCCAGGCTGCCTGGGTTTGAATCCCAACCCAAGCACTTCCTAGTCGTGTGATCTCAGACAAGTCACATAGCCTCGTTGTGCCTTCAGGCCCTCGTGTGCAGCATGGAGATGCTATTAAAAGCTACTCTGTAGTATCAGCGGGAGAATGCACATGGGGTAACCCAGGCAAAGTGCTTAGTGCTGTCATCCAAGGAGTGTTGAATAATAAGAATCTTATTTGCCGACAGTGAGGATGAGGCAGCTGCAGGGGGGTGGTGGTTAGGAGCAATCCTCTGGGTAAAAAGACGCTGTTCCAGGAGACTCAGGCTTCCGAGTTTTGCAGTTGGTGACCGGGCAGTGGCTGCTCCCATTTACAGAGCAGGAAATCAGAGGTCAGTAAGCTCAGTGGCATGCCACAGACTCTGCTTTCCTGGCTCTCAGCCCTGTGATATTTCTAGCAAACCCTCTGCCTTTCTAAGTGGACAATTTAATCACAGTTTAATTATCCATGGTACAGAGGGGCACGTAGAATGGAGAGTGTGGAGTGGGGGTTGCAAATATAAAAGCGGTCTTTGAAGAAACGTTGCAGAAGACAGTGTGCGGCAGTGGGCAGGTGTGCCGGCATTGGAGGAGGTCCCAACCTTACCACCGGCCGCATGAACTTCAACAGGAGCATCCTCTCTGAGCCCCTGTTTTATCATCCATTACAGGGGGAGAGTGAATACCTACCTCACCTAGGAGGTGAAAATGAAGTGATGTAGGTCAAGCATATAACTCGGGCTCAAAGAGAGGTGTGTGTGGTGGTATGTTGACCTGGTCTCCCTGATGCAGAGGTATTTGGACATGATACAGTCTACAAGGCCAATCATTAAGCTTTTAACTTTTTTTAATTTTTATTGTTATGTTAATCACCATACATTACATCATTAGTCTTTAATGTAGTGTTCCATGATACATTGTTTGTGCATAACACCCAGTGCTCCATGCAGAATGTGCCCTCTTTAATACCCATCACCAGGCTAACCCATCCCCCCACCCCCCTCCCCTCTAGAACCCTCAGTTTGTTTTTCAGAGTCCATCGTCTCTCATGGTTCGTCTCCCCCTCTAAGCTTTTAACTTTTTATAAAATGACTAAATATAAGAGCCACCCTGTGACAGACTCCTTCCAGAAGTTGGTTTTAACAATAATGGGGAGAAAAAGTTACTGTTTTTTATTTAAATCACATCAGATTGGCTGTGTCAAAATATCCTTTCTCACTGAATGTTAGCTGTTGTCATCACCAACATCCCCTCCATCATCAGTCTTCTCCCAGTGCGGCTGTGTTTCTGGCTCCTTCTGTCCCTTCCTAGCAAGGGCGAGGGAGCCCTGGGCTGGACTGACCAGCCAGCAGAAGCCAAGCAGGGCTATCAGACAGGGAGCAGGGCTGTCCACAAATTACACCCTGTTGTGCAGAGGGCCAATTGCTGCTGCCAGAGGTGTGAATGCAACTCCCCTAGAGGCTTTGACCTTAACCCTCTATCAGCTTAATGCGTCTGGTACTGTGAGCATCCAGGAGTTCAGAGACCTGTGGAAGCAGCTGATGCTCTATCAGGTAAGAACAAGTCTTAACCACACCTCCGTACGGGGGTAGGGGGCAGAGATGGCAGTTCTGCGAAACTGTGTGAGGCCCTACGCCTCTTTCAGCCCCATGTACCCCACTGTTCACCCAGCTGCTCTACCCTCCCTTCAGTGCGCCCGCCTTCCCTCTCTCCCAAACTCAGCCTGGTCCAACAGTCTCCTGGATTTCTAAAGTGTACGTCTGATGATGTCGCTTCTTACTGAAAGCTTTTTAAGACTCCCCATGGTCGTCAGATAAGGTCTGAACTCTCTAGCATGGCAATTAAAGTCCTGCATCAGTTGGCTTCTTCCTATTTTTCCAGTTCTTACTCACCACTATCCGCCTTGTCTCCTGAGTCTGAAAGCTGGCAGCCCTTCAAGGTTTGGAGAATGTGCCGAAGTCAAGTACATTTGGCTATACCCGGGCTGTCTCTCCGCATGACAAAAAACCACTCCATATCTCAGAAGCCCAGACCCTCTGCCTATTCTTGTCCTGGCAGCAGGCCCTGCTGGCAGGGTCTCACGTTGGCCGAGGGTCCACTGCTGCATGGACACTGGGGCACGGAGGGGCTCTCGGGTGGTGCTTGGACACGCCTGGTTCCTGAGCCTTTGGTGTGGGTTCTTCACAGGAGGTTTTCCACAAGCACGACAGTAACCAGTCGGGATACCTGAACAGGACTCAGCTGCGGGCCGCCATGAGGGATGCAGGTAGGCACAGGCCGAACAGGTGATGCAGGCCACACCCTCGCCGGGCTGGGAGGGCAGGGGGTGCGTCACTTCTGAAGTAATTTTAATGAGCGGAGCTGCTCCCAGAGGCCCGAAGATGTGGATCTGCAAATCACGGAAACATTTATTATCACTCTCACTATGGTCACAGCCGGCATTACTGAGGGCTGGGGATTCCACGCTCTCGTTTAATCACCCACGCCGAGTGATAATCCCCACTTTACAGAGAAGTTGCAGCTCAGAGAAGTTAGGTCACTTGTCTGGAGCCTGAATCCAGGACTACCAGGCCCCAAAGTGGATGTTTTTGACCACTCTTGAGCAGACTGCCTCCTGCCTTGAAGGCCAGCATCCCAGTCGATAAAAAGATCCTCATGCTGGTGGCCTAAGGGGCAAGAATGGGGAGTCGAGATGGAGATAAATTTAATGGACTAAATAATTAAACAACTCATACTGAACCCCATAAAAGAAGACCCCCGTGTTATCAGGATTCAGGTCCTGGAAGGGGAGGGAGCTGAAGAGGCCTCAGGGGGTGGGGAGGGGGCATGAGGTCCCCAGCACCCATGACCGGAGCCTGTGTTCCATGCAGGAATCGTGCTCAGTGATGATGTCTGCCTGCTGATGCTTCTCCGGTACGGCAGCCCCAACCTCCAGATAGACTTCGTCGGCTTTGTCCACTTGATGCTGCGCGCAGAGAACATGGAGGGTGAGCTGGTGGGAAGGAGGCAGGGCCAGAGTTCCCTCCACACTGTGGATTGCCCCCCTGTGCCCAGTTCAAGCAGGAGGGAGGACAGCAGCCGGCACAGAAACAACAGGCCAGGAGCTATGGGGCACGCTGGCTCTGTGCCCGAGAAACCCAGCTGCGTCGCAAGCTCATGTACACCCCGTCTGTCCCAGGGGCAAAGGCCTGAGGCAGCTCACTTACCCTTGTAAAGTGTGGCCACATGGGGCTGAAACCAGGTTCCCAGGCGAGGGGGTGGAAGAGAGTAACCAGTTCGTAATGTTTCCAGCACACATTAGCTGTGTTCCTTTCTGCTGCATTTTCACAGATGCCTTCCAGAACTTAACCCAAGATGGCAAAGGGATATACCTCCAGAAGCCAGAGGTAAGCCTTTGTCCATGGGGTGGACTCACATCATCTTAGGCAGAGAGGGCCATGGCAGGTCTAGGCTCTTGTGAAGGAGCAGGGTTCTGGGGCCTTTGTTCTACTGAGTTGGGGATGTAGCCCTGCGTTCACTGCACTCATCCATTCATTCGTCCGCTCTTTACTGAGCACTCAGTCTGTGCTGGGTGCATAGGCAGGGACCTAGACCCTGACTCAGTGGACCCAATGACTGTGACCACAATCATGCCATGGAACAAATCCACCCAACTTCAGCTGTGACAACAGTACTCACTGAGTTCCCCAGTTACATGTTTGGGAGTGAATGCGTCTCCACTGGCTGGCTCGTGATTGGTGGGTGAACTGGGAGCTTTGCTGGGGTACCTTCATCGAGGAAGCTCTGGCCAGGCCTCCTCATTGTCTCCGGACAATGGCAGAAGTACAGGGGAGCGAGCTTACATATGCAGGGCCTCCCAGATGAGGTACTTGGTGCTCTGCAACTCATTCTGTTGTCCAAAGCAAGTCACATGGCCAAGCCCACTTCCAACACATAGGGAAATAGGTACCTCGAAGTCACTTGCAGAGGGCATGGACACAGACTGGGTGAAGACCCAGGCCAGCAATGAACTCCAGCACAGACAGTAATAGGGGAGCTGGTCTGAATAGGGCATTCCACAGAGGCCTTTCTGGGGGAGGTGACGTCAAAGTTGAAACCTTGATGATCAGAAGGAGCGAGGGAGGCAGAGTGGAGAGTAGGAAAGGCTCAGGCTAGAGGGAACAGTGTGTGCGGTCCTGGCTAGAGTAGAGAGAATGACAAAACTGGCTCAAGATGAGTCTGAAAAGATCAGGGTCAGATCTTTCTCAGGAGCTGGCCTAGCCTTTCCCCTATGGGCTGGGATTCTGATCTTGTGTGGGTAGCCTCTTCTTGAACCTTATATCGTGGTTCACACATAATAGGAGCTTGACAAATGTTTATTAGTGAATTAATGAATGAGATGATATGCCGATAAGACAAATCTGTGCCTGACACTGATGGTCTTCCCTGATGATTCAAACCGCATGGATTTACTGAGTACCTACTGTATGTCAGAGGTGGCACTAGGTAGAGTTTGCTGCAAAGACATTGGAGTCTGGAATTAAATTATCTGTTCTTTCTTTGTAAAAATACATCCTCTGTTTGGGCTGCTTAAAAAGGGTCTAGTAAAAGCTGAGGTTTCTTCCTTGACCTCCAATGTCCATTTTATGTAATATCTTTCCAAGATACTGGGATCCTCAGTATGTGTCTTGCCTCAGTCACAGTGGTATTTGAATGTGAAGACAGGATTCACCTGGAGGGGCAATGGTTAGAATCTTCTGAGCCCATTTCCATCTCAAATCCTCAAGCTCACGTGCTGATCCCAAGCAGTCCCTCCATAGTGCAGGCTCAGAACTGGGAGAGTAGGACAACATGAACGTGCAGTTGAAAGAGGGCAGCCCGCAGCCCACGCAGGCTGCAGCAGTGCAATGTGCCATCACGGGAAGAGAACTGGACTGGGACCTGAGCTGAACCCACGGCACTGCTTGTAACTAGCTGTGGGACCCTAGGCGACTCAACTTCAATATATATGGGCCTCAGCTTCCCCACATGTGAAATGAGTGAGCTGGTGTCTCTAAGATCCTCTTCAGCTCTGACTGTCTCTGGCTCCATGAGAAGGAGATCCTCAGGGCCATCCAAGGAAGTCTATAGGGACTGGCAGCCAACTTGTTGGAATTTCACGCTGGTTTTCTCTGATGCCATTGGTAACTCCATCATTGTCCTCTTCATCACCAACATCAGCAGCAGCAACATTCTGATGTAATTGGCCTGGGGAGTGGTTTCTCCAGAGGTCCCCTCTATTCGAGTCAGAGGGTCTGTTCATCACACCCACATAAAGCTGTCAGACAAATGGGCCCATAAATGTAAACACGTAGAATATGCTCTAATGGATTTCTGCTACCCAGTTGGTCCACACACCTGCACACTGCTGTCATGAGAATGCCAAATTAAATTCATGGCAGAAAATTGGATTGATTGTTGAATACAGAATCAGCCAATATCTTGGGTATCATCATTCACCAGCACCATGAGAAGTCAAGGTTGATTATATTTTAGGTTGATTTATTCATACTACCAGATGGTATGGTCCCTCTGGCTAACCCATCCATTACTGTCCTGTCTCCATGGCTTCCCAGGAACGAGGGGGAGGAGGTCCCAAGTCCTGTGTCAGGCTCCAGGGTCTAGTGACCGAAAAATAAATCACCCCTTAGCTGAATGTCAGAGGTCTGCCTGAACCGACCGTAATTTGCTTTTGCATTATGTCCAGTGGCTGATGATGACTCTGTACTCCTGAGAAGGCTGGGGGCCTGTCTACCTTCACCGAGGATGCTGCATATGGCTTCGGCTGAGACCAATCCACACTCAACCCATTTACCATTCTTCAGGACCATGTCTCCAGTCATCATCTTCTCAGCTGGGAAGTTTTCTTTTCTGCAGATCTCCCCTTCAGATAGGCAGTGTGCAAAAAGGGAAAGGAATTAGCAGAGATTGCCTTGGACTTGTAAAGACCAACTGTCATTCTCAGGCCACAACCTTTTCACAAGCAGAGATGATACCTGATGTGACCTAAGCAATCTGACTCCAGAATTGGTGTCTCAACCTTTAACAATACTGCCTCCATGGCTGTCCAACTTAAATGACCTTAGTCGAATGTTATCCCATTCGGGGTAATAGTCTAGGTTTTAAGATCTGAAGAGGGACTAGTATGTCCTTAAACAACTGCACCAGCTTCTAGAAATCGGTGGATTCACGCTAAATTTCAACTGTGTGGAGGTGGGGTGGGGCTATATTGAGCTTTCAAGAACACAGAAAATGAGAGGATTGGCAGAGTCCAGGTGGGTTGGGCTGGCTCTGGCATTTGAGGTCACTGGATGGTCTTCTGCTACAGTATCTCCAGATGGTTGAATTTGGGGCCGGAACCAGTGGATTTAAAACACCTGAATTCTCCAAGAGCTTCCTGCATATAATAGGTGCCAACCTGTTTACTTCACCTATGGACTATCAGATCCATTTCAAATCAGTCCCCAAAGCCTCTGTGTGCCAACTTTAAAGAAGAACAACCAATCCATGCTATATCATAGAGCTAAGCAGTAGATGGTTGGTATCTCTGATTCTTTGAACTACCATGCTGCCTTAGTTTCACAGCATCCCTCTCAGCCCAGAACCTGGAGGAAAAGCAGAATAAAGACCATCTCCCAAAGTCCATACATTTTACTCACAGGTTAGCAACCCAGAGCCATTTGTTAAAATTCTATTTATTCTTGATTTCCAAACTGTTCTAATAGACATGACTGTCTGGTTTCCAAACCCATAAAAGACTAAAGGAGGAAGCTGAATGATGGGATAAAAGGGTGTCCATTCGCAGAACAAAAGGAAACCTGACAGTCTGATAAATGGGCACTGAAGAAGGAGCAAACACTTTCTAAGCATGGCTTAAGGAAGTAGAAAAGTATTTTACTTAGAAAAAACTTTATTGATTCCAAATGATGAAATGTAAAATGGTTTTCCATAAAGTTCCAGGCACATGAGGTATTACTGTTTTTATAAATGATGATCATGTGTTATAGGCAAGATTTTTATGTCTATTTATTTGTCAGTATCTCTGTCTTTAGATTCTGCCATTGTAAATATTTGTTTTAATTAAATAGCTATTGCTTTGGTCCCACGAAGGCAATTTGGAAGATTTTTGGTGGTGGGCAGGTGATACCATCATCCCGTTCATGACCCTTGGACTACAGTGTAATAGTTTTGGTTGGTGCCGATGACATTTATATCGAAGTTAATTAAGTCTGATAGAACCTCCCTTCTAGCTTCTCAATGGTCTGAATGGCCCTCCTATGTCACTCATGTGTTACCCTCACTCGCCTGAGTCTATCACTGTGGTAACTCAGATGCCCCACGCCATGCTGACCTCCTCCATTCCTTCCAATGCCCCCCAAAGCTAAGTACTGGAGACCAGGGGCAGAGCTGTTTTCCCACCCAAATATCCCTTCTCCATCCTCTGTCACTCCAGGGAATGTGAGGCAAGTAAAGATCTGGGACAGGATGGACCGTACAAGGGTCAGAGTGAGGTCAGGCTGAAGGTCTGAGAGGTGGACATCTGCATTTCCCGGAAGTTAAAAGCCAAAAGTTGGATCCTGACCGAGACAAGCAGGAAGTGTGCAAACCCAGTGAAGGATTAGCAAGGAATCGGTCCTCAGGTGCCAAAATAGGTGAGGTCAGGGAGTCCGGAAGGTTGGGTTGTCCACCCATCCAGCGTAAGCACACTGAGCATACCAGGCTGAGCACACAGGCCGAGCACTGGCGCAGGCTTTTAAAATCTCAGGAAAAAAAAGAAAAAAGACCCTAACTGGTGAAAAGAAAAGGACGGTTGCAAGAGAGGACTAAAATACCTGCCCTTTCTTTACCCCTCTTTTTTCTCTTTTCCTTCTCTCATGTTTTGTACAAAAACTCAGCCACCAAAGAGAACCTTCTAGATTCCTGTTGGAGTCTAGGGCAGGGCAGTCAGCAGCTGACTGTAAATAGCACTTCTTCCCTGCCACCATCACGCTGGGTTAGAGAAATGATTTTAGCCTCTGGGATTTTCAATCTGATGTTTCCCCAGTGAAATATCTGCATTTATATTTATAATGGGAAAAAAGGAGGAAATGAGTTTCATGGGTCATGGGTAGGTCAAAGTGGGCCAGCTGTGCTGGGCTTAGTTTTGGAACAGGCTGTGTGCCCAGTTCTCAGGGAGCTTTGGAAAGATGGCCATCTGGGGTCACTGGCCCCAGGTCCTGAGTCCCATCTCTTTTCCAGTGCCCTGAGGACCCAGGGGTACAAAATCCAACAGCAATGAAAGTGAGGAGACGTTGGGAAGGAACATTCTAGCTGGATGACATTGGGCTTCAGTTTACTCACTTGTAAAATGGAGCCCAAAACGTCTACATCACTGGGTCATTATGACAATAAATAATGCCAGCATACTGTAGGCACTCAATAAATAAAGCATGTCTTTTTTCCCTTAGGCAGTGAAAGTATTTTTTACAACCATGATAATTTATTTTTATTTTTGTTTCTAAGAACATTGTCCCTCATAGTGATGGCTCTTTGTAAGTACCCAGGATTTCATAGTCCATTTCTACTTTCCTCTTCCTCCACGTCCCCTCTCTGAACACTTCACACCATGTCTTTGAGGTGTGGCCCCAGGAGGACTGCCCCAGTCTCCGGTGTCAGGGACTCAGCTCCAGGGACCTCTGAGAAAGTGGCCGTCTGGCTATGAAAGGTCCTCTTCTGTCAGGCAGACGGCGGCTCTGCGCTCTGCTCACCCGGTGCCTCGGGAGAGGAGGGGGTTTGCGCATCAGAGTCCAGGTTGCTAGCTGGCGGTTTCCTGGACCACAGACCAGGCAACTTCTGGGAGAGTCTTCTATGAGACGGCAGGCTGGCCAGCACTGACTCCAGAAGCTCCGCTGGGCAATTCAGTTGTGATCTGGAGCTGACCTTACCGTGAGAAGGCGTGGCACTCCCGCAGTCCTGAGTGCGGGCCCTGGCTTGTGGACTTCTGTCCTCTGTCCCGATGGGCTTGCGGGCTAACCTGGCTGGTCAGCAGGTGGAGAGGCCCGCCAGGCAGTGAGCTTTCCTCTCATCCCTCTGTCCATCCGGCCACGCAGCCAAACATTCAGTGTTCTGTGGGAAGACACCTGGCCACCTTCTGCAGTGGGTCAGGCACTGTGCTAGGCCCTGGGGACCAGAGTGACAGTCTTCCAGGGTGGCAGATGACTGGCAGGTGGCCTAGCACTGTGACTCGGTGAGGGGGGGAGGGCAGGGCTTCTTGGGAGATGATGCTTAGTAAAGAGGCTAGAAACTAGAAACTAAGGGGAGAACAGCAAAGTTCCCCACGGAGGGTATTGCACGGGTATGTGTGTGTGCGTGTGCGTGCGTGTGTGTGTGTGTAAAAGACTGGAGGGATGGAACAGTATGTTTGGAAAGCATCCAGTGGGTCAGGGGAGCAGAGCTTAGCTCTGTTCGAGGGTGCAGCGTGGGCCCAGGTGGCACAGGCAGGAGGTGGCCGGGGCCCTCTGAGCTCCATCACGTCACGGCATCCGGGTCCTCTCCTGCGGGGCCAAGGCATCCCCCAAGGACTTCAAGCCTGGGCCTGAGACATTCAGACCCTTCCTCCCCACCAGCAAAGCCAGGAAGTCAGCAGTGTGTAGACAACGACCTGGGAGTCAGACGGAAGAACCGAGTTCAAATCCCTGCCCTAGTTCACCCTGCTGAATCTCCACAGCATCACTGATAAAATGGCGAGAACAACACTCACCTCACAAGGTGAGTCTCGTAAGATAACAAAGCAGCGTTTTTGGCCTTTCTGGCTTTCGGCCTTGCCTATGTGAGGTGTGAGCTCCACCCGATTTCCCCCGCCGGCGGTGGGCGCCTTTATTCCCGCATTTGTGGCATGTGCTGAGGCTGTTCCAGCACTAGATGGCACTCTGTCCCCACACAAGGGCTCCCGACAGCGGACTTGGGGGGGCGGACAGCTTCAGCCCTTAGCCTGGGCAACTGGGTGCTTTAGCGCCCTGCCCGCCTGACTCAGCTCAAAAGGCCAGCGACAGCCCCCTGCAGGCTCACTTTCCTTTCTTACTTCTTTGTTTCTGCTCAGTGTTTAATGGATGCCCTGTGCTTTGTTTTATAAACACTGTCCTGTAAGTAATGTATAGCTTTTTTGTTTCTGAAAAAAGCAAAACTGTGTTTTTAAGCCCTTATTGTAAATGCATCTCCTTGAGAGATACAACCATGCCCAGGCCACTCACCCATGAGCCCCAGCACCTAGCTTAGCACCTAGCTTAATGCTGAGCTCATGTTTGGGGTTTACTGAATGAATGAACAATTTTTGAAGTAATTGAGGTGAATCCTGTCAGGAAAAAGTCAGTGCATATTCGAGATGCTTACCGAAGATGTTAGCATATAGGGTTGCTTAAAGAAACATACCGATTTTCCTCTAAAAGGATCCTTTTGATGTGGCCCAAGCTAGCTTACTCTGCTGCCCTGCGCCGTGCCCTGATCCCAGGGGCAGTTCAAACCACTGTTCAAAAGCTCATCAGACTCTCCCTGAAGACATTCTTCTTATTTTGATATTCCGCGGACTTGGACATCATTTTCTCTTACATATTCAGAATTCATCCTCCTAGAAGCATTAACCATCTGGGTCAAGTTCCAGAGCCTTTTACTTTCCGTGGAAGCTGTGTGAGCAGTAGGAGGTAGCTGGTCCTAGGCCAGACCCAGACTGAGGGGAGGCCAGGTGGGTAAGTACTCATC